CAGCCCTCGACCCCTGGAGGAGTTGTTACGAGGCAATCACTACTCTACTTCTCTCAATGTCACCACGCCCGCCTAAAAGATGAAGAATTTCAAGAATGAGAAAGGAATCAAATTACTCCTCAAAAATCCAGCCCTGCTGATTTTAAGGAGTAGGGGGCTCGTGATGGTACCATGGACTCTGACCATGGCCCAATTACATAATCCAGCCCATCAACGGGATCAGCCCATCAACGGGATCAGCCCATCAACGGGATCAGCCCATCAACGGGATCAGCCCTCAACGGGATCAGCCTAATTAACAGGATTAGCCCATAAACGGGATCAAGCCCTAAACGGGATTAGCGCTCAATAAGCCGCTGAGCCTAATTGGGAATCAGGCCCATGACAGGAACCCACGGCCAGGCCGGGCTGAACAGCCGACCTCGAGGCTGGGCAAGCAGGCCTCGAGCCTGGGCGGAGTTCTAGTGAGGCCGGGATATTCCTAAGGTTTACGTGGCAGGCTATTACTCGGACATTGCTATTTGGAAACAAGAAGGAGATGATTAATGCTTAACGTCCAAGGCATGAGAGGAGTTCTATTTCGAGCAAGAATATAGTTCATTAATTAGCATTTATTGTATTAGATTCCTCCCAAAATATCAACTCCCAAAGCCTATAAATACTCATGTACATATCTTGTAAAAGAGGCCTCTCTCGAGATGAATAATACTCTTATTACTTTCTCACGATTAATGAATATTTGATTGATTAAGCTTTTTTTGCTGGAATTATATTCCATCAAAGGGTATAAATTTTTCTAAGAATACTAAAATAAAATGTTCAACGAATCTAGACATCTAGGCGGCCGATTAAGCGCTCTGGGCGGGCAATTATGCACCTTAGGCCGACTAATTCATCTAGGCGCCAAATCAATTAGTCGGAGCTCCTAGTCAGACGCCTAGAGCGATTTTTAGAACAGTGTAGCTAATTAAGTAAAGGGAAATTGCCCTTTAAAGGAGTAAACAAGTTTTGGAATTCGAAAGTAGGACAAATATGTTTTTCTTCCCTGAAATAGGATTCGTTACTATCATGATTAAAAAGATATTGCCATTAATGGCAGTAAATGTCATGTTAATGCCTAGTGCTGCAACTATTTTGATAGTAATGACTCCGAGATGATAGTATATACTTTCATGTTCTCCTATTTCGAGAAGAAAAACATAGTAATCGTATTTTGGAATTCTGAAACATGTTTACTCATATTTCAAGATTTCCCCTCAAATAAATAGCTTAAGTGTGAAATGTTAAACGTATCTTACATGTGCATTACTCGAATCAGTATCTATCTCAATAATATTGATATGAAACATCAATACTAATATCTATGATTCACTAACATCAATACTAACATCAATACTAACATCAATATCTATGATAAGGCGATATTTCTTATTAGAGTGTGGGATCCGATTGACCGATCCCTCTCTGGGAAATATACAGGAAGTATTTATAGACTCTAGGAGCTTGTGATTAAGGAGCAAACTGATACAATAAATGCTATTAATTACATTCTAGTCGAATATGTCTCCTGTAACATCTTGGATGTTGTGCAATGATTATCTCCTTTAAGTCCATGTTCCTTCTGTTGCACGATAGCTATGCACGAATGATAGCTGGCCACGTAAGTCCTAGGAATATCTCGGCCTCACTAGAACTCCGCTCAGGCTCGAGGTCTGCTGTCCAGCCTGGCCTGGTCGTGGGTTCCTATAGCGGGCCTGATTCCTAATTAGGCCCAGCGGCTATTTATGATTGATCCCGATTGATGGGCTGATCCCGTTGATGGACTTATCCCGTTGATGAGTTTTGCTCTAATTCAATCTTGGGCCATGGTTGTGATCCATGATACCATCAATACTCTTATACTCTTATACCTCATACATACATCATGATTATCAACACGTGAATTAATATATTTTAACATCATTAAACATTACACGTGAACAGGCAATTATAAGAGGATTTTTAGACATGTTATGAACCTTGTAAAGACATGTGAATGATTCAGATAGTTTGTGCCCCTCTCGTAATATGCACCAAGAAATCTAGTGGGCTCCTTAAAAAGGGATCAATTAGCATGGTCATGCACAAGTGACATAGTTGGGAAGAGTAATGTTCACCGTGAACATTCATTCCACTAATGATGAATATAAATAGGTAGCCTTGATCTAATCGATCAGTTAGGCGCTATACAATTGATCCTATTAGTTAGGCACGTACTATGCAATTCTATCCAGCTAATGTAGCGAGCTATTCTCCTGGGCTAACAACTTTGACTTATCAAAAGGTACAATATTAAATAATATATACAAGAGATAATGGATAATCATTAATTAGATAACTATGCATATGGCATGCAGACTTCCAGTACGTAGTTATGAAGTGTCGTGCTAATACGCCCCCGCAGTTGATGGGGCAGGTGGACTGACACAGAGACTGGAACGAAATTCATCAAACAGGACGCGCGGTAAGCCCTTAGTGAATATATCAGCAAATTGATGGCGGGACGGGACATGGAGAACTTTAACCTCACCACGGGCAACCTTTTCACGAACAAAATGAATGTCCATTTCTATATGTTTTGTACGTTGGTGTTGTACAGGGTTGCCGGCCATGTAAACGGAACTAATATTATCACAATAAACAATGGTGGCTTTGGATAGAGGGCAATGAAGTTCAAGTAACAAGTTCCGGAGCCAGCATGTTTCGGCGACAACATTAGCAACACCCCGGTATTCGGCTTCGGCACTAGAGCGAGATAACGTGGGTTGTCGTTTTGAGGACCAAGAAAGTAAGTTGTCACCCAAAAATACACAATAACCAGACGTGGAGCGGCGGGTGTCCGGGCAGCCGCCCCAATCGGCGTCGGAGTAAGCAACCAAAGACGAAATGGAGGAAGGGCGTAGGTGAAGACCCAGGTGAATCGTGCCCTTAATGTACCGCAGTATGCGTTTTAACGCATGTAAGTGTGGAGCTCGGGGTTCATGCATGAATAAACAAATTTGTTGAACGGCATAAGAGATGTCGGGCCGAGTGAATGTCAGATATTGTAGAGCACCGGCGAGACTACGGTAAGAAGTGGGATCAGTAACACTAGGGCCGGACGTGGCACTTAATTTTGCCTGAGTGTCAACCGGGGTAGTTGTGGGCTGACAATTAGACATTCCAGCACGAGCTAGTATCTCAGTAGCATATTTAGTTTGTGATAAAAATAATCCCTCACAATTGCGAGTAACAGAGATGCCTAGGAAATATGATAGGGGACCCAGATCACTCATAGCAAATTCAGATTTCAAGGTAGCAATAATGGAGCAACGTAGAGTCTCTGAAGAAGCCGTGAGTATTATGTCATCGACATAGAGTAGTATATAAGCAAGATTTGACCCTTGTTTGAGAATAAACAGAGAATGATCACTGCGGCTATGTGTAAAGCCGATGGTGGCCATAAATGTAGAGAAGCGGTGGTACCATGCACGGGGGGCTTGCTTGAGGCCGTATAAAGATTTGAGAAGACGGCAAACATATGTTGGACGTGAGGAGTCACGAAACCCCGGTGGTTGGTGCATGTAGACGGTTTCATCAAGATGACCGTGGAGGAAAGCATTTTTGACGTCCAATTGGTGCAACGGCCAAGAGTGTGAAAGAGCCAAAGTGAGCACTGTACGAATCGTAGCCGGTTTCACAACCGGGCTGAAAGTTTCATCACAATCAATGCCAAGTTGTTGTGAACGACCATTGACCACAAGACGGGCTTTATGGCGCTCCAAGGATCCATCAGACCTGTACTTATGCTTATAGAGCCACATGCATCGAATAACATTAGTATTTGGAGGACGGGGAACCAACTCCCACGTCTTATTTTTAATAAGAGCACTAAATTCATCATGCATTGCGGTTTTCCAATTTAAGTCATGGAGGGCCTGAATTGGAGACCGGGGAAGTGGGGACTGGTGAATAGTGTGTTGGACAGTGAGACTGAATTTGGGGTTGGGTTTATGTATCCCAGCTTTACTACGTGTCACCATTGGATGATGGTTTAGTATGGGCGGTGTGGGGGAATTAATGTGAGATAAGGCCTGGGTGGATGTACTGGGAGGTGGGGAATGACCAGGAGATAAGGTTGGGGTTGATGTGCTGGCGTGGGATATTAGAGGAGGGGAGGGTGGAGTTTGACCATTATGGAGGTCAGTGGAAAGTGACGGGGATGAATGAGTATGGTCAGAGAGTGGTATGCGGAATATGGGGTGTGTGGGTTCGTCCAGAAAATTAAGAGATGAGGGTGGATTAGGTAGAGAAGATTGATACGGAAAATTATTTTCGACAAATGTTACGTGCCGAGAAATAATATATTGGTTTGTGGTTGTATTGAGACAGAGATATCCCTTATGATTAGGTGGAAATCCAAGAAATACACATGGAATGGAACGGGATTGGAGTTTATGTATTTGGGAAGGTGGAGAATGGGGAAAACATAAGCACCCAAAAACGCGAAGGTGATCATAGGTGGGTCGACGGAGATAGAGTTTTTCTGTGGGAGATAGGTATGATAAGGTTTTTGAGGGAAGTATATTATGGAGGTAGGTTGACATTTGGATGGCGTGAGGCCAAAATTGGGGAGGAACCGAGGCATGAAGGAGTAAAGTGCGGGCAGTATTGTTTATAGAGCGGATGGTACGTTCAGCTTTACCATTTTGGGGGGAGGTGTATGGACAAGAAAAACGAAATTGAAGGCCATGAGCATCCCCAAATTGACGAAAAGCAATATTGTCAAATTCTCTACCATTATCACATTGAAATACTTTAATATTACGCTCAAATTGTGTGCGAATAAAAGTATAAAATTTGACAAATATAGAGAATGTGTCAGATTTGTGATGAAGAGGATATACCCATAAAAATTTGGTGAAATCATCCAAAAATAATACATAATAGCGATGACCAGTAGAACTTAACACAGGAGATGTCCACAAATCACTATGTATTATTTCAAATGGTAAAGATGTGGCAGACATAGAATTGGAAAATGGGAGTTTAATATGCTTGCCCAACTGACAAGAAGTACATAAAGCTGAACGAACATTATTACAAGTAATGTATTTATTTGATCTAATCTTGCTAAACGTGGGGTCGCCCGGATGACCCAAACGATGATGCCATGTATCGGCAGAGACAACAATTAAGGAGATGGAATTTATTTGGGAAGACGGACATGATGGCATGATGGGATAGAGTGCACCAGAACTATTACTCCGCATTAGTTGCGCCCCCGTTCGGAGATCCTTCACAGAAAAACCATAAGGATCAAATTCAATAGAAACGTGATTATCCGTGGTAAATTTCCGAACAGAAAGTAAATTCTTAATTAAATGAGGTGCATGAAGAACATTAGAGATATGAAGTGGAGGGTGTGGGGGTGATAAGGTGGTATGTCCATGACCCAAAATTGGAATGGTTTGACCATTGCCAACAATAATATGATTATTTGTACTCGAATTAAAATAAGATGTGAGATTACCCGGATTGGCTGTCATGTGAGAGGATGCGCCAGTATCCATATACCAGGTATCTGCTGGAGGAGTGAGAGTAAGTGTATGGAGTGCTTCAGAAATATCGGTGGGTTGAGCTGGATTGGCAAGGTGAGCCTGATGTGGTCGTGGTCCAAGAATACCGGCTGTAGTAGGGGCACGTGGGGGTACAGAAGCCGTGGGATATGGACATGGGGGAACCTGCCAAGGAGCATATCCAGGTGTCATCCAATAGGCCCATGGTGGGGGAGCTGTCCAGTAAGGCGGGAGTCCAGGTGAACCAGGAAAGGTGGTGGACAGAGGAGATCCACGTGGTTTGGAAGGCCTGGAGGTGTTGGGTCGGTTGCGGCCATTAGAGCTTGGGCGAGGGGAGCTCTGTCTAGAAGAATCTGACGGCGGATGAGTATGAAGCAAAGCAGTCTGCCCAGTTGCCCCAAGCTGGTGACTCTTGCGTGTTTCCTCAAGAATAAGCATGGAACGGGCTGTAGCAAAGGGCGGAAGAGGTACCGTTTGCTGGATCAGAGAAGCCACCGTATCGTAGGAGGCGGGGAGGCCGCCGACAAGACGAAGGACAAGGCGATGATTGTTAACGGTGGAGCCGACGTTCCCGAGTTTGGTGGCCAACGTCTTAAGGGCTTTGCAATAGGCACTAACGCTGGTGAAGCTTTCCAATCGGGTATTGGAAAATTGTTCTTCCAAATATATGGCACGAGAGTGCTTATTATCATGGAAGATATCGGCGAGTCGCTCCCATGCTTGTTGAGCCGTTGAGTCGGGCTCAAGTATAGTGTGGAGAAGATCATGAGATATAGTAGCATAGATCCACTGTAGAACCACCGCATCAAGACGACGCCAAAGAGAATCAGCTTCGGCTTGAATGAGAGAAGCGGCAAGGATTTGTTCGGGAGTAAGAGGATCAGACTCGTCCGCAGCAGAAGGCGGGGAGGAGGCAGCGGTAGGGAAGATATGGTCAAGGACCTGATATGCCGTGGCGGTGATTTTAAATAATTCAGCCCATGAAAAGTATTCACTAGTCTCAAGATCAAGAGTAAGCGGAATGCAATTCTTGATGTTTGAGATAGTCAAGGCTGGGTGAAAAGAAGAAGAATTTCTGGAAGAAGACATGGTGATAAAATCTGATACCAAGTTGGGAAGAGTAATGTTCACCGTGAACATTCATTCCACTAATGATGAATATAAATAGGTAGCCTTGATCTAATCGATCAGTTAGGCGCTATACAATTGATCCTATTAGTTAGGCACGTACTATGCAATTCTATCCAGCTAATGTAGCGAGCTATTCTCCTGGGCTAACAACTTTGACTTATCAAAAGGTACAATATTAAATAATATATACAAGAGATAATGGATAATCATTAATTAGATAACTATGCATATGGCATGCAGACTTCCAGTACGTAGTTATGAAGTGTCGTGCTAATAGACATATCATGCGTTCATGTCATATTTTGAGTAAAATAGAGTAATTATTAATATAAAGTGATTAAAAAATACTTATTTTGAGAAGGCTAGAAAAACGAAATTTCATATTCTAACATGAAGAATCTTATTTTAGATGTGGTATGAAACAGTTCAAATGAAAGTAGAACATACTACCTCCATCCCAAAAGGTTCGTCGTATTGACTTTTCTTGGTCAATGATGATAAACTTTGGACAACGATTTTAATTATTGTATTTGTATATAATTTATAAATTTTATATTTTTATGAAAATATTTCGAATAAGGAACATTTTGACATAATTTTCATATTTAAAACAATTTTGCATTAAAAATATTGACGCAATGGTTACATAAAATCGTATAATTTTATATTTGATGGAATTTAATCCAACTACGAGAGCTATATCTACGAAAGAGATGAAATATGGGCAGCGTAAGGCGGTATTTCTTATTAGAATTCGGATCGGGGATCCCTTGGTGGGAAATATCATTATCATTATCATTACCCCAGTGCCGCAAAGGCTACCACCTACGGTGGGGTAAGGGGGGTTGGATGTATGCAGTCTTACCCCTGTGCTAAAGCATAAAGAGACTGTTTTCGGATGACCCATAGTGAAAATCGCGTCGAAAATTACATGGACTGACTGTTGCTTCATAACAAAGAAGCACAGACAGTTTAGTGAGCCATTTTGCTTTATTCCATCATATTCCCAAGCCAAAAAATAGTAAGTCTTTGGCTCCATTTCAAATGATGGAAAGCTTGGTGGGAAATATACAGGAAGTATATATAGACTAGTATTTCAGGAGGAAACTGATACAATTTTTTATATTAATTATATTCTTAGTCGAATAAGTCTCCTGTAACGTCTTGGACGTTGTGCAATGATTATCTCCTTTAAGTCTAATGATTTCTATCCTCATCCATTCGTTGCGTGGGGGGATCCTCCTCAAAGATTGTGCCCGTGTTACCTGATAAAACCTTACATGTAGCATATTCAATCGTCTGCAATGGCTCCTTAATTGTGCTTGCTTGCACCATAGTAATTGCTCTTTAATACGCGACAGGAAACAATTTATTTCAAAGACATTTCTCCTTTCAGATATGTATAGAGAGTTGCATCTCTTCTCGATAATTCGAATAAAACCTCAAAATATATTTGCATCATGAAAGATGACAATGGAACTCATCTCTAACTTAGTGCAAGACCAGCTATCGAAAAAAAATGGGAATGGAGACCTTCAACCAACAAGCTTTTTCCAAATCAAAGTTAATAACAGAAAATTAATAAACCTTTGTGAAGAAAAAATCATCAATTGGTAATAAGAAATCAAAATCTATGATATTTAAGATCTTTGATTTGATAGTTTCCAACCATTCCATGTATCGATAATCTTCATCTTTCGGCTTTCAAGTTTTGGGTTGATAGAATTCATAATTATATTAGGAGAATAAAAGGATAGAAACCATGAAAAATATGTTCTAATCTACATATTGTTCATCAATTTGCACATTAAAAACTCCGCAAAATGACTCGAGGCATAAAAAATCGTTTGGTAGAAAAACCGACAGACAAGATAAACAAAACGAGCAAGGAATCATCAGGCTGCGCTGAGCACACAAAAAACGATGTCTCTCTACTATTACATTTGGGGTTACAACATAAGATCCCACAATTCAAGCAAACATCACACCTCAAATGTTGTATGCAGGAAATGCAAAACCTATACCAATACATTTATTGTCAACATTTCTGAGAAAGGTAAAGCGGCTTTATGACTAAAGACAAAAGGACAACTAATGTTCCTCACAAACAACGACACCAAAAAAAATGGAACAGAAATGAAAAAGACCAAAACACGATTACTTTTCTTATCAACAATTTCAAATTCTTCTTCTCATGCTTCCCTTGAGCCACAAAGCAGCCAAACATATACTGACAGGGGTACTAAGAGGAAGAAGAAGAAGCACCAACCATTGAATTCAACTTGTTGAGGAAGGCCTTGATATCACTTTCTAGCTTTGCCTTCATTTCTGGCTCTATACTGTCACCTTCCCTATCCAACACGTCTCTCATCATCTCCAGATTCTTTTTCATGTAAATGATATCTGGCCCCTCAGCTTTTCGGCCAGAAGAAGGCAGTGGTCCCTGGAGATTCAGACTGCCCATGGGCCGGAGGACAGTGTTTGTTTGGGTCCTGCTATTACTGACCACTGCTGCACTATTATTAATCCCCGCCACTGCAACAGGTCTACTCTGCTCCCGGAAGGTGGCAAGGGCGGGCCCAAACGGGTTGCTTTTCTCTAAACCCTTACAGGCCGCTTCTGCACCACCACCCCGTAAAAAGACCACCCGGGCAGTAGATTCGCTGGTGAACTTAGTCACCGGCTCCAAAACCGGACCGAACTTCGCAAATGAAGAAACCAGAGATTGTTTCGTAGGGAGAGGATGGCCAGGAAAAAAGCTCAAGAGGAGTGTGCTCCCCCCAGCAGTGGAAGGGCCGAGATCAGGTGCTGCCCCCTTGCGCTGGCGGCGGGGGGGGTTAGGAGTAAGGCAGTAACTAGCAAGGGAAGGCCCGAACGGGTTGCTCTTTTGTAAACCCAGACATGCTACTTCTGCATATCCGCTTCCTTCAAAGACAACCTGGGCACGGGATTCACTTATGAAGTGGGTTTCAGGCTCCACGACGGGCCCCCACTTGCTGAACGTTTCTTTCAGGGAATCTTTTGAAGGAGTAGGATGCCCAGGAGCAAAGTTCAAGACAAGTTTGGCCCCCCCGGCGGCACTCTTTTTGGGCCTGGGGGTTTTGGCACTCTTTCCTCTACTATTAGGAGGAACCAGAACAAAACTAGCAATGATGGATCCCAACAGGCTCCCCATTTCTAAACTCTTATATGCTCCTTCTGCATCACAACTCTGCATAAAGACGATTCGGGCACAGGAATCACTCAAGAATTGTGTCTCGGTCTCCACAACTTGACCAAACTTGATAAATGTTGCAATGAGAGATTCTTTAGAAGGCAAAGGGTGTCCCGGAGCAAAGTTCAACAGCAGTGCGCTCCCGGGGAACTCACTAGTCGTGTTGGAGTTGATGCTCCTCCGCCTCTTCTTTTGTGCGGGTAGACCGGTAGAGTTCCCGTTCAAATCAAGTAAAGCCGCCGCTTGGATGTTTTGAAAGTCTGGCTCTTTTTCCTTTCTCATTCTCTTCTTGGGCTCAGGTTTCACAGCAGGTGATGGGCCTGTGATTGGCAGGCCATCATTCTGAACAGCGTTTGGGCCCACCATGGTTGGCACCGCGTGGGGTGGTACCTCAAAAACAACTGTGTCCTTGTTTTTGGCCCTCTTCAGCTCGAGTTTACCCTTTGATGTGTCTGGACCGATGACCTCCATATTCTCAACCGATAGTCTCACAGTGTTGCCATTCAAATCTGGCGACCTATCAATCATTCTAATCTCTGGAACTATTCCTCCTACCATCTTCTTTCTCTTCTTTTGAACTTTCACCCCTTCAAATGTTTTATTCTGCTTCCCGCTTTCTGAACCGGTCTGATTCGCAACGGATGAAAACTTTTCACCGTCTAAGCGCTGCTTCTGCTGCAGGTTAAAAAACAAGTGTTTTCTGAAATTATAAAAGAAATTCATAGCCGAAGCAGAACGTTTACTTCTGAGAGGATACAGACAGTCCAGAGCCGTAAAGTGGAGTTTTTTTAGCATTCCGGGCAAAGATGTATGATCCACACTCTCCAGTTTACTATATATACTCTTGAAGCTTCTACATCTCCTCCTTGGGTTTCTGCCTGTACTGAGGTTCCTGGCAGACTGCTCGCCCAGTTTCTCTGTCTCCACTTCCAGATCTTCCGGTTTGGTTTCCTCTTCTTGATTAGTTGAAGTTGAGCCCCTTTTGTCCCAACGGTTAATGTAAGGGTAGGAAAGGTATTTGCTCTTCTTCCTCTCTCTCAAGTCAAAAGAGTTTTTTTCATTTTTCACTTTAGAGCCCTCCCCGACGTTCAGTTCTCCTTCTTCTTCCTTTGCATCACTATTACAATCACTGCCCTCATTTCTTGGCCTGAGTTTGTGCAAAGACAGATGCTTGTGCCCGAGAGAATAGTAAAAGGCGGATAGACAGTTTTTCATAACTGCAAACTCAATGCCGCCCGGAGGACAAGTATCCACAGCTTGGTTTCTTATGGCTTCTAAAAACTCTGTGGGATCGAATTCGGAAGCTGAGAAAATACCGAATTTGCCCCTCTTGGTTCCGTCTTTGGGTGGAGGAAAACATGGACACAACATCTCCTGTTTTACACGGTGCCCTATCTCGACTACTGCCTTCTCTACGGCTCCTAGAAAGCTTCTGGATTTGGTTTGTTGGGACATTGGGGCAAAACAGTCAATGAAGGGCTTCAAATGTGATGAGGGAAAACGGGATGAAATGATGTTCCCAAAATGCTTGACGAGAAAGGAGCCTGTTTGATCACAAGAGTGGGATATGATCCCAGGCCACCATAATGAGGGCTTAGTTTTGACCCATACCAAATCACCCACACTGAACTTGTGTTCTTGGTTGTTTTGACGGGTTCCATTTAATGGGCCAAAAACTTCTACAACCAGCGAGATTCCTTCTTCGGGAATTTCTTCAGGTTCATCTGCCCTAACAGACTCTTCTCTGTTGCCATCCAAAAAGTTAATCATATTTTCTTTTTCTGTTCCCTTGAAACTCAAGGGAGACAAAGCAGAAATTTTTTCTAGGGTTTTATCATCACATCTTTGACTCTCCCCCTCTACACAACCATCCTCAAGGGTTTCAATAAGACTCCCAGATTCCATTTAATGAATGTAAAGTTGTCCACTTTTTTTCTATTTCATCCAATCAGCGCAATAACTGCAGCAAAGATGAACCCGTTTAAAAAAAAACACAACTGGACATTTAGAAATTTTACTTCTATTCATTCGGCTGGAATGAATGAATGAATGCAATAATCAATCACGCAAATTACCAAATGTGTGGAGCAGTATCAGATAACAAGAAGAATACCCAAATTAACAATTACCAGAAGAACAGCTCCAAGTGCTTAGCATTTTCGGGGAAAAGGTTGAAAGGAAGAGGCAGCAAAGAGGGATCTGCGAGAACAACAAGTGGTGGTAACCGTACTAGTGAGAATCCAACTAGCAAAAAAGGGGTTGAGTGTGTGGGGAAGGTGATTCATGTACACAGCTGCAAAAGAGAGTGCCCTTTTAAATTGTGATTGTTTGTTTGCATGTACTCCGGATGTAGGATCGATCTCAGTCTCGGGTTTAACATGTGATCGATCGATCTATTTACAGTTTTACATGCTTCCAAGTTACAAAACTACATATTCGGCTGTTCACATAAATCTTTTTCAATGTCCCCCAAGTTTGGGACAAAGAGGTGTGGTGTGTTTTTTAACAAAAAGTAAAATTAGGTGGTTGATATTGAAATAAAGTGTGAATAAAGTAAGAATGGATTTTAACCACACATATATTACCAAATATGGTATGAGACTAACTTAGTGGGACGAACGAAAAAGGTAAAACGAGACAAACTTAGGGGACGGAGGCAGTAACTTTTAAGCCTTTTAATAATACTCTTCTCTCATACTTCTCAAACGCGTGTAGGTTATTCCTAGCCTATTTTATCGTTGATCGTCTTCTTCGTGGAGTTTGACGTCATCGCTTGAGGTTCAGGTGAGCCATGGCAGCTGATTAGGTTCCCGTTGACGTCGTAGGAAATTAAGATGTTGTCGCCGCCCCTAATTTTGAAGATCACACGCACCTAGGATCATTGTTGTTGGCTGTTGTGGCGAGAAGAAGAAGATTGGGAGACGACCAATTGAGCCGGTGATTGATGATTTCTGGTTCCGGGACAGGTTGGAGGTCGGAGACTGAGTTCGAGTTCAAGATGTTGCCAATTGAGGTTGTGATTTTCAGAGACAGGAGAGTCTACTTCATTGCTGATGAATCCTTGCTGCTATTGATCTCAAATGAATTTTATATTAAAGTCAAATTAGTATACGCTTAAAAGTAATGAACATACACAATTTTTTTTGAATTTTTAGATATTCATTTTGTACGTTATGTATGCTCATTTGGAACCGCTGTTATGATCATTTTAAAATGTTATATCAATGCATATTTCAAAAGTACAATATTACATTAGTTTCACATAGGAGTTGATTATAGGCACGAGAACACAGATCGTGATATTCAGACACATGATTTTAATACTCAATAGCGGAGGTTTGATGCTCACTGGAAATATCTTGATGCTCAACTAGCATAATTTACAATTTTCGTTTCAATGCTCATTTTGTAAGTTGCGTGTTCTCGTTTGGTACTGATGTTATGCCCATTTTAAAATATCATACAATGCATAGTTCAAAAGTACCATATTACATTAGATTCACATATTGAAATTCATAAGGGTTTGATGGTACCATGGATTACAGTCATGGCCCAATTACAAAGTTATAATTAAAGCCCATAAACGGGATCAAGTCCTCAAGGGGATTAGCTCATAAACGGGATCAGCTCATAAACGGGATTAATATTGATTAGTTGTTGGGCCTAGTTAGGAATCAGACCCACGATAGGAACCCACAACCAGGCCGGGCTGGATAGCAGACCTCGAGCCTGGGCGGAGTTATAGTGAGGTCGGACCTTTCTTAGGGCTTACGTGGCAGACTATCGTTCGAGCATAGCTATCTGGCAGCAGGCAGGAATAAACGGAAGAAACGTAGACCTAAAAGAGTTAATCATTACACAATGTCCAAGGTGTTACAGGAGTCTATTTTGATTAATGAGCATTTAATGTATCAGTTTCCTCCTAGAACACTAGTTCCTAAGGTCCATAAATACTTCTTGTATATTTCCTATAAAAGGACCAAATTCCGGAATAATAATATTGCCTTACACTGCCTAAATTTGATCTGCTCTCGTAGATATAGCTCTCGTAGTTGGATTAAACTCCATCAGGACAACAACAATGATCCCAGGTGTGTGTGATCACGGTAAAGAGGTGATTACTCCAATTGGCAAATGGGAGCATGCAAAGTATAGGAACATGCAATCACTGTAAACTTGAGATTCCATCCATACAGAAAAGTACTAGTGGTTTAAAGAATCACTTAGTCAAGAGATGCAAACTGAGTCCTCTATATGAAGGGGGAATGACAAAATCCAACCTGTGCTCATGAATGAGATGATGGGATAGGTAACTGCATTGATTCCACATGACAAAATGCAGGGAAGAAAGCAGCTCTGGTAGTAGGTCGGGCTACATGAGTAGCCTTTATGGTCAATTTGCTTGTTGTTTGCCACTAATTGATGAAGAAACATGACGATTATTGAAGGAGGGAAGCTGCATTTTAACCTGAAACTTTTCTTGAGGTGGATCTTTCCTATACCTTTTTATTCCATCGGAGGGAGAGTTTTGACTCCTTATTGTAGATCTGGATTCCTGTGAGTAAGACCCTATTTGAGGTTTGGGTAGCTTTCTTTTTCTTTTTTACTAGTGGGGGTGAGTAACTCCATTGTTAATGAATGCCGAAGTAATTTTCATTTATTTTATAGAGGGTGGGGAGGGTGCAAAATTTAAGATAGAGTCAATTTTTATCGACAATGCATAAGCTTGGAAACAACCATGTTGGGTTTTTGGACTTTCTTCACAATTGCCCATGTGAAAAACAAAAAAGTATAAAGGCATTTGATTGATATTGTGTGAAAATTTCAGTCAAACTAGGGTTGAGATTGATTAATTTGGAAATCTAGAAACTAGATTTGGCTTAAATGAGAAAATTCAGAAACTAAGAACTAATCTGGAAAGATATTTAAATAGTTTCTGCTTTCCAGGGTTAATTAAATATTACGTTGAAATCTATAAACTTGAAAGTTGAAACTAAAAAGAATGACAAAAAAGGACCGCCGGCTTCCATGTGCACGAAAATAGGAGCTAACTTGAATATAGACAAAAAAGTGATTAATTAAACTTAAATGGACAAAATTACCCCCAAATCATCCTCGTCTACAAACACCCCAATCTCCCTTCTCATCTGTAACGCAGCGCACAAACCTTCTTCTCCCTTCTAATAATGTAATATTTAGGGATTTGTTTGTAATATTCCATAACTCTGTTTTATTATAAATATAAGGCTAAGGTACCCAATAGGGTAAGCAATTATTCCCAAATTATATTTTTGTATATGGTATCGACGCCCAGGGTTTCTTCCTCTCTCTCGTACAATGACTCGCGTGACCCAATCGTCTGCAGCATCATCGCCGGTGCCCTCTCAGCAATAGCTGCCGCGGACCACCAGAATCATGACGTTTCAGGCACCCGTCCAACAAGTACATCAACAAACCATTTCGTTGCATCCATCGTTTTCCGCCGGCTGTCTTTGATGAGTGCCCTAGATACCAACTGAGTCTCAAGTGAGTTAAAAGTCTAGAGGGGGTGGGGGTGAATAGACATTTAAAATCTTTTCTTCTTCAACCCCATTTTTCCTCTTACTAAATGTGTTCCAATATCTTTTGGGAGATATTGAAACATGCAACGGAAGTCTTGACCTCAAGAGTGTGACTGATAAGTCCGTATTTGAACACACATTTGAGGCGTGTTCGGGTCGGATTTTGATGGTTTTCCTAGCTTTAAGGCGTTGCAAGTCTCAATTTTGGCTCAAGTTGTGTTTAGCAGGTGTTGAATCAAGTTTCGTTGCAATTGGAGTTGATTTGAAGAAGTTGGAGTCCGGCAATTGGCGCTTGAGAGGCATTCGGGAAGGATTTGAAGGCGTTCAAGAAAGATTTGAGAGATTTGGAGGTCACCGGGAGATTCACGACGAAATTCTGATAAAGAAAGAGCATTTGGATCGACCTCGTAGGCATCCGGGAGCGTTTGGAGCAAGAAAAAGAAGAAAACATGAAGAATAAGGTCAGGCACGGTCGTGCCTGGAGTTAGGCACGTCGTGCCTGAAGAGAAAACGAACCTGAGAGCTACTGGAGGCCAGGCACGATCGTGCCTGGCAATTAGGCACGCCGTGCCTGGACGCGAATTACGGGCCTCTTCCGCAGGCACGGTTGTGCCTGGCGCCGTGCCTGGCCGCGATTGGTCCTAATTCGACCCGAATTCGTTGTTTTCTATAAATAAGGCCTCCATAACCCCTTTTGGGGGGTTACGAACATTACGGAGAGGCCTAGGGACGAATTTAACACCGTTTTTACGCTATTTTCTTCCAAGACCCTGGGATTATTTGTAAGTTCATCTTTTTAATTAATGACAATTTATTCTATTCATCTCAATTCTGTTGATTCTTTAATTATGAATTGTGAGTAGTTTAATTAGGGATTTGGGGTTGATGAAGGGGTTAATCATGATGTATGGTTAGATTCTTGTCGGTTTAATTGCATGAATGTCGTTTAATTTGTGTTTGAATAATTTAATTGATATCTCTTGTAACCTAGACTGCAGGTAGAATTACAATTGCATGTAGAATGAATTAAGAGAGATCTAATTTGTTCTAGGACACATTCACACACACTTAATCGTTCGCTAAGAGATTAGTAGCGATTAAGGGGCCGTAAGCTCGCTCGTCTTGGCAATAATTTAGGATCCTGTCGCATGAGAGATTAGCCTGGTCCCCTAAATTACTGTACTCTACGCCGCGAGAGCGGTAAGAACTTAGTAATGATTAGCTAGGCTCAATTAAATTAAATTCATGTAATTAGGCCTGATCTGCTAGAAATCTGGTTACCCCGGAATCAATCTCTGTTCCCTTCGTCGTTAATTGAGAACAAACCAATCTTTTATTTTTATCGCTCATTAGCATTAGTTTTATTTTACTCAATCAACCAATCTCGCACAATTGCATTTTATTTTATTTATTTCTCTTTAATCGCTGAATTTAGTTAATCTTTAATTCTCTTTTGTCCGTCTCTGTGGAGACGATACTCGTACTTTCAACCACTTTTCTACAACTATTTTAAGTGCGAGAAAACATACATCAGTTTTTGGCGCCGTTGCCGGGGACGGTATCGGATTTAAGGGTTAATTAATTTTAGCGACTTGTTTTAGTTTTTCGTAGGATTTTTGTCTGCTAACCTTGCAGGTCAGTCTGTTTATGCATACACGCTCAAAGAGGGGAGAACCACTTGTCCCTCTTAATCCTGAGATTGAGAAATTCGCTAGACAGAACCGCAAGGCTTTTAGAGAACAGCAAACAACCAAGGATCAACCATCAGCATCTGGAACAGCTGGGACGTCTGAGGCCACTTCTGGTAACCCTGATTTCTACGTCAATACCTCTCCCCAGTCTACACCG